TGCAAAATTGTGACTTAAAACGAGACTGTTGCATGTTGATATCCTTGTTTTATTAACGTGTTTGTCAGTAGCTTGCCTCGTCTTGGAAATTGTTCGTACGTTGTTCGCTTTTGCGTATCGAATCAAATGAGAGACATAAACTCCATATGCAGGTGATATGGGTATATTGCTACATAATTAAGGGAAGCTGACGATAGAGAAGTTGAAAACATCACGTTTATCATAAAGTTTTTTGTTAGGTTACAATTAACGTCTTTCTCTAGTAATATATCCTAATATGAAACAGATATGTCAGACTCTGTGATGTACTTTATTTCAAGTTTACTGGGATATATCGAATCGACATATGAATGGAGGTAACTATTGTTAATTGATTATACGTCTAATAAACTAAATTGTATGACAGACTAGATGACTTTAGCTTTTCCATCCTCAACTTTCCTTATTTATATGATAATATTCGGCCATCACCTACATATGGTGTTTATGTCTCCCATCTTATTCGATACTCAAGAGCATGCTCTTGATCAATTTTTAGATCAATTTTTAAACTGAGGCAAGCTACTGAAAGATGCTTAATGTTACAGGGATTTTAACAATCTCGTTTAAAGTCAGCATTTCGTTTATTCTAATGGTCTTTATAATGACCTTGTCGTGTTAACAAATACATGTATAACGAATCATTGGGAGTACTGGCTGATAACCAATTGCTAGACCTTTTTTAATACATAATTTGACTATGAAATGTTCCGTCTACTTGATCAATACATAGGGCTAACGGCGAGTGTGACTGGTCAACAGGGTTTGGTTACGCCTCATAGGTACCTGAATCCAAATCTGGAATTTCCTAAGGTCCGTGTTTTATGCCCTGTTCACAGATTTGTATTGTTGGTAGATTTTTTTGAGATCGATCACTGTTCATTATCTTCACCTTTTTCATATGGACAATAATGTCATTTAATAATAACACAATCAAAAGTTACATCACTAATAGATTCACAGTTAACAAACTTATTTCGGTGGATTTATACTTTTGAGTGAGCTATTCAAAATCTCGTTGTAAACTTTTACAGATGACACAATGAAGCTATGGGGGATGACATTATACGTAGTTGTATTTTTTTTTAATTAAATTGGGCTTACTTTTTAAAATTCAAAACAAAAGTCCTATGTTTAATTAATGCCATCACTATCACGATTTATTTCATTTTATTGATGGAATTTATATCATTTATTGTTAGCATAGTGATTCATTTATAAATATATAAAATTGTATAGAGTATCATCTACTAATTCTATATTAGATAATTATCAATTATAACATTATTGTTTTCTTAATTACTATATACGAGGGTTGTTTGATAAATTCGTAGACGATCGCGATATATTTAGATTGCGTTTACTAATTATAGTGCCCTTTCAATATTCTATCAATGAAATCTTTAGGAAAACTGTAATCGATATTTACAATATAAATAAAATAATTGAAATAAAAACTGAATAAAATATTTAATTCTATGATATGGCTCCTTGCGGTGCAGTAGGTAAAATGCACTACTTTAAAATTTAAATACTCAAATTGATAGGCAATAGATTTTTATTATGGCGCAAAAATATTGCAATTCAGGTATTATCTTCAATGACGAAATGATGTCATATTTTCATATTGTGAAGTCGTTCGGACACTTGGTTATAAAGAAACAGGTGATTTTAAAAGCCATATCAAAATGACTAAACGGAATATTGACGTTTCAATATAACGTCGGGAACAACGGGCTGCTATCAAAATCTGTTTCTAGCTAGTAGGGAAGACACTATACAAGAACCTATCCAGATGACGGAAATGGCTGGGGACACATGTCATGTTTCCCTGGCGGTAACTTACAAGTGGCATAAACGATTTAGGAAAGGAAGAGAATCCGTAGAAGATGATGATAGACCTCAGGAAATTGACGCTACCGTATTGGCGTCATACGCAACGCAGTAAATGATGAACGAATAACAATATAAAGACTTATAATTAGTAAATTGCTCAATTTCAACTGTTCAATTGATTTTTACAAGAAAACATCAACATGGAAAGAGTGAACGCTATTAAAACTCGAGATAAAAGCAGGTTTTACTCCGTATACTAAAAATAAGTTTAAAACATCAGAAATGTATGTATCTAGAAGGTGTTAACTTTGAAAAAGAGTAAAAAAAAATAATTGACGTCAACTTTGACGTTTTTGAAAGTGATTTTTCTGCGCCGCTTATCGATGCTATGCTTCTTAAATTTGTTTGGCGTGTCTGTATTTGGTGATGTATTTGTTTAATTTTTGCAAATTTTATGCATTTTATCTAACCTAATACATTGACATTAAAAATAAATCTGACTGACGTTTTTCATACTCATTGTTAGGCCATTATTTACACACTGAATTGTCGACGGATTTTTCCGTTATTTCCCGATCATGACAAGGAGCACACGGCGGGTGTGACCGGTCGGCAGGGGATGCTCACTCCTCCATGGCACCTGATCCCACCTCTGATGTTTGGAGGTCCGTGTTTGCTCTGCTCCTATTTTGTATTGTATAATGAACTTTTGAGCTTGAATACTGTTCGTTATCTCCATATATTTCATATCTGTACATAAAGATGGTAAAATAGTGAAACTTGTCTACGAATTTATCGAACAACCCTCGTAATTAATTGAATGCCATTAATGATTACTAAACAACCTCAAATATTCTCCATTTTTTGCATCAGAATATTAACCTACGTTTCACTCTTTTGTATTTAATTTTGTTAGGGGGGGGGGGGGTATATAAAAAAGATTTTAACTCTAAAATCTTATCCATCATTTCTACTACTTATCCATATATCCTAGTTGAGCCGCAAAAATATACTTGACATATGTATATGTACAGAAAAATAATTTAAAATTGTTCCATAACCAAAGCAAAAACATTAAGATATTCTGCCTCTTGTATCTTGTATTTTAGTAAATAATTAGAGAAATATAAGAAAATGTTCTTGTGTAACATATGTAAGAAGAAAAGTGATTTTCTTGATATAGATACTGACTATTTCAAAATACTATAAAAAGTATTTTCAGATTTGCATATTTGGAATATACTATTGATCATTATATGAATTTAAGCCTTAAATTTTGAAAAAAAAGTTTTTATTCCAGTTAAGGTTTGTTTTTGATAAAGAAATAAGGACAATTTTTACTTTTATTGAAAGACGAGTTTTTGTGCAGTGAATGCATTTTGAAGAATATACAAGGTTTCCCATTTCAAACTTTGCTTTGATAGAGGACCCAAGTAGAAAACTGATTAAAAAAAATAATTTCAAAGCAAAAAATAGTAAAACGCGGTTATAAAGAACTCGGCTATTAGGAACTCTCGATTATAACGAATTTCTAATGAATCTCCTAGGCTACTTTTCACAATGTTCCTTATATCGATATGAAGAATCTCAGTTAATATAAAGACCTTGTTTGCAAACACAACCTATCATTAACGATTATTTTGACTGACATGTATTCTTTTCAATTGTTAGACATTGTTTTATATTAGACTTTCCCACGGATGTTCTGTTTACCTGATCAATGCATAGGATTCACGGCGGGTGTGATCGGTCAACTAGGGATACTTACTCCTCCTAGGTACTTGATCCCACCTCTGGTGTTCTCAGAGGTCCATGTTTTATGCTCTGTTTACAAATTTGTACTGAAAATTGAGATCGACCACTGTTAATGATCTCCACCTTTTTCGTAAGTAAATTATTATGGAATTGAAAATTCTGGAGCCAATGCAAATTTACATGAACTGGGATTTAGATGAAATCAAATAATTATAATCAAGATGCATGATATAGAACTGAAAAATCCCATTGCGTTTTGTATTATTGTGCATTTTCTATGAAAATAAAGAATGCCATTGTAGCCAATAATTTGTTTTTCTTTGTTTTCCAGACGATTGATTTTGGGAACTCTTAGTACGGTATTTTTAATTAACAATCTGAATTTTTTTGTGTCTGGACGGACAGTTTTATCATTCATATCAAAATGGAATATTTCATTCAAATATGACTCAGTAATCTAGATATACTTTTGAACTGACATCAATTTCAGGCGAAGTCTGCGTATAAGTCCATCAGAAAATATAGCTCCCGTTTTTTATCTTGCGACATAAAATGGTTTTCTTTTGCATGTATGAGTAACATTAGACAATTCGCGTTCACAATTATCTTTTTTACTTGTGTATGTGCAAGATATGAGCCTGAGTTTTATTGAGGGCATTTTAATAAACCGATTGTCTTTAATCAGTTCACAGGCATTCCTTACTCTTGACAAATCTGAGAAATTGTTTATGCTATGGTAATATGTGATCAAGCAGGATTTAAACACTTCATGATAAGTTCAGATCAATCTTTTGTAAACCTCCGTTTTATAATTTACTATATGCTTTTGCTTATTTCATTTAAAATGTTTTAGAAACTGCTTATTCATTGGGTCATACATTATAAATGATAGGATTGTTTGCGTTAAAGATTTTCATTTTGAAAACCTAGCTCGTTGATATTGGTAAGAATACGACCATTTTACAAAAGCAATTCAGTTCCTTATTAATTTAGGGAAAATTTTGTTCGGAACGAAGCTGTTCCGATTAACGAGGTGCTACTGTAGATAAATATCTGGAAAGGTGTGTGTGTGTGTGTGAGGGTGTGTGGATGTGTGTGTGTGTGTGTGTGTGTGTGTGCTAAATTCAAACCACACTTTTTATGAAAACATACACATTTATAACAAATATATGTACATGAATTAATACTGGCATCTGCATGGTTTGCCCTGGAAAAAAGGAAAATGATCAAATTCATGAAAGCATAAAATATTAGATTACGGAGTTTAAGGTAACGCATGAAATGGCGAAAAAAAAGCAGGTCATTGAAAAATGTATGTTAAATTTGAGTTTTGAAATTACAAAAATGTTTCAAATATATCATTAATAACGTTAAATATCAAACAATACCAGTTTCATTTCGCAAACATAGTAATTCCTCTGCGCACAGCTATCAACATGCCAGTGATACTGATAAGTTTCCCAGAATGCACCACAATTCCAGTCACCTTTGGCATGATAAATTGGTTCCTGTCCATACCAGTCAAACTTATGGCATCTCTTCTTGCTAAATCCCCAGATCCATCGGTGTTTGTTTGGAAACAGGCAATCGTTCAGACCGAACCAAGCTCCACCAGTGACTATAAAGTTGGAAACGAAATGACAATACATTAAATCTTTTTACTATTTGTTTTTCATAATAGATTTAATTCTTACCAAAATGTAAGAGTTACAAGAAAATTTTATTTAATTAATTCAGACAGCAAAATTTGAACTTTCATTTCTTCTATCTTTTTCTGCAAAATTGAAAAGACATACACATAAAATGATAACGTCTTTAAAATTGGAGACAAGACGTAATCTAATCTAGACTTACCTCTGTATTCAGCCAAATATCGCCGAATAAAAGAGTTTTCATGAGCTGCATCCACGATAACGAGATACCCTCCCTGACTGGCACATTTCATCTATGGAAAAAAGAACAGATTTCAATATTTGGCCTGTTACATAAAACATTATGAAATGGTGTTTTATACAAATCAGCATTTAGAACTATTAAATAAAAATAAAAATAAACAATGCACCTTAAATTTAAGTATTTAAATTTAAATCATGATTGGTACACTATGTACTTAAAACTTAATCCAAATCAGTAAAATTACCTCGGCTTGCCACCATGAGAGCTTGTCTCGACTGAAGTAATAACAGCTTCCATGATAAGGACTCCAACCATAAGGACATCCCCCAGCGCGCACCTTGGCTGCAGCGTAACCAAAACTGCTGTATCGTGGGGCAGCCCCGTATCCAGCGTGATGGCCTCCTCCGCCTCCGCCAAATCCCCCAATTTCATAGGATGGAGTGGGAACTGTAAATAGATAAAAATACATTACAAAGTTATTACAGTGGATTTAAGGTAGGGTTTCAATGACAATGTTTTAATATAAGATATTGAAAGTGGAAATAAGGAACTTTGATCCATGTCATAAATCCAATGAACAACACAAACTGTGAAGGAGGCAATAACAGAACCCTGGAAAAACAAGAAGGGAGTAGGAATGGATATAAATCGTAGAAATAATATAAAGTATATAAAGTATGTTATTATCAATTGGTTTATATCATCATCATTTGGTTTATTGTAATGGTAAATTATCATCATCAATAATGTTTCGTCATTTTGTTAATTGAACTACATAGAATAGTTGCAATTTTTAACACACGTAATTCATAATGCTAATTGGCTGTAGAACATAAAAGTATATTGTATTTTTGTCTTGCAATAGCATTATAACAGTGTAAAAGAAAATAAATTACAACAATAAAAGATAACTACAACAGGATTAGTGACTAAGCCGCTTCAGCACACATTTGGAGAAAAATTAGTCATAAAAAATGGTTCTGATATAAAATGACAATTCCTTTGTGAATCTCATGAATACAGTAATTTTGATTTCCAATTTATGAGAGTTTTATAGTTCTAATGACACAGGACCTCATAAAGTATTCAGAAAATGTCCATTTCTAATCATGTTCTGCATAATATTTGGAAAATATCGCTTACAAGACTTTGAATGTATAGTCCTTACATTTAGAAAAAGATAAGTGCCATTAGGAATGTCTTTATGATTTATGATTTTATCTACGAAAATGTTGAGTATGTTTTCAAAATGTTGCCTTTAGATCTGTTGTAATATATAGCATATTTTGGGGTGAAGACAATGTCAGACCACATGTGCTGTATAAAATTTATTGCTTTGTAGTTGCAACACTACCATGACCTGCACGAAGTCTGAATTTAGCCCTATTGAGCACACTTGGGTAATAATTGGTCGCTGAGTTTGTCAAATGACACAGATAATACAAACATTTTATGACCTGCCATGTAATACGTCAGGAGTGGTAATTCTTCTAATACGTGGTTCTAATAAGACTCACGTTGTCTTAGTTTTGAAATAGAATAAGTAAATTTACTAATGTCAGAGATCAAATTATGCTAGTAAAAATAAAATGGAGCATGAAAACTTATATTTAGCTTATAGTGTTAAATTAATCATCATACATTTGTTGAGAGAAAAAAAGCTAGTGTTGCGATATTTTTTTCCACGTGTCTATTTGAAAAAAAAATTATCAAAATTTATTTGTTTTTTTAGAAGGGGGGGGGGATGACACAAATTTGTTCAAATGCTTGTCCTGAGTAATTTGCTAAAAATGTAAAAGAAATATTCACAATATCTCTTCAAAGATCAACTTTATTATAAACCCCAATTAGTTTCATTAAAAAAAAAAACTCCAAATATTTAATTTATTTTCAATATTACAAGTTCTAGTTTATTCAGATTCGTCTTAGTGAAATTGACCATCTTGCCAAAGATGTAGTAAGAGGATTAAGTATTTTGAATTCTGCACTGTGACCAAATGTGTGTTTGAATCTTTTTTCCCTCAGAAAATTGCTTCAAATGTCATGGTAGTTATTACTCACGTTTTGGTCTGGGTATACATTTGCCGCCTTTGTAGATCAGCGGAGATTTACATCCACATTTTCCCTTCAAACATCGGAGATTTCCACCACACACTCGTCCCTTGTATCCGATATAGCCAGTACATTTACCACCGTTTCCTAAAACTAATTGTTATTTCTTTCTTATTTCTCTATACATCTCCTTCACAAGAGCAAATTGTTCTGACTCTAGTAAATTAAGATAATAGATATTTCTTTTTAAAAAAAAATCTTTTTTTTCTTCCCTTCTTTTTTTTTTTTTTTTTTTGGAAATACATTCCAGTGTATTTTACAGTAAGATTGCAATTTTATAGGGAAAGAACACGAAGCCAGTTTTAATTTAGCTTTTACACAGTTTCTACGATCTTGAGTCATTTTATTTGATTTTTCATATGTGACATAACGAATAATTTTTGTAGAAATTGTAAGTCAATATTTACACTTGTGACAAATTTTTCCATTCCAGAAATATCCGGGGGAACAGACACACCTCTTTTTACACCTGAGGGTAGATCCACACACGTGACCTTTGTAGGCGGCCAAAGCACACACCTTTCCGTATGATAAGTCTGACAAATTTAATAAAACAAAGTTTTCAGTATTCAAATGTATTGTACAAGATTGTAACTTAAGTTTTTTTTTTCTATGTTGAAAATACCGTAAGAATAATTGATAAATTGACAGTAAAAAGCATTCCAAGGATAACTATCAATATTGTGTTTAATAAATAGGACAAGAATTGAGTAATACAACATATTTTAAAGTTTTTAATAAAGATCGCTTACCCTGAAATTTATTTTTGACTTTGGATTATTTAAGTAAGTATGTAAAACTCTCTGCATATACAAATGATAATAATATAATCGCCAATCAATGATATAATTAATTTATCAGGTCAATCTGCGATACTCAAATGTATGATGTCAATTTTAATGATAACATACGTGCAACACAAGCTTCTCCATTCCAGAACTGGGTGTTTTTACACGAAGATGGTCCTTCATTAAAACCTGCCCGAAAATATTACGAATTCGGAATTAAATAAAGAATTCTTGAATTGAAAATATTTTTTGCCATCTACTCGACATGATTGGAAAAAATGCCAAAGATCTGAGAGAGAGAGAGAGAGAGAGAGAGAGAGAGATTGGCATATGCCTAATTAAAGATAGGGGGTATATTAAATGTATTGACCTCCTCCATAACCTTCATCAAAGTCTCCGTACTGAGCACCTGTAAAAGTAAAAAGACTTACATGTAAATATACCATGCCCTGCACAAAACTGAGGTATTCATTACTGCGAAATTATTTTTTTATCCAGATTTCAAATGCAACCCGCAAATACACTGGTTGTTATTAAAATTTATAATGAATGAAATTTTAACAATAAACATTTTATGGTAGAATGTTTGATTTAGATTTTCATTATCGTTGATTCTTAGACGATTTGGCTATGTATTTATATGAGATTTAAGGTAGAAATGTATAAATAAATCTGCTTCGATCACTTACTGGCGAAGCCCACGGCCACAAGACCTATCAGAAGAAGAGGGTTCATTGTCAGCCTAACGTGGTAGTCCACGGATTTGCATCGTATGTTTGTATATATATACCCACCTGCATACTTCATTTGATTAATCTACATGTACCTTCTGGAAAAAAGCTAAAATTGCAGTTGTTATTAGCTGTATATAAGATTTACATAGAAGTGCACCCTTCAGGGTCCGCAAAACCCATGTCAAAGAAGAAGCAGACCAACCCTTTATTGATTATATCGTTCAGTGTTCAGAGTTCATTGGAAGACATGTTACACGTACACTGACATTTTTAGGGCGTATTTGCAACAAAACACTAATAAGAAAGTAAATCAAACGTATGAATATTCTTCTACGAAATAAAAGGATAATATTTTACTAAAAATGAGACGATTAGCTTTTTTGTTGGTTCTTTCTTTAGCAATCGTTGAAGGTAATTTTGTTGCATCAAATAATAAAAAAAGGAAACATTTTTCTTTCAAGTTATCAAACTTAATAATATATAACATGTACTTTGAAAGAAAAAAAGAAAAAAGAATGATTTTTTTTTATTGTTAAAACTGTTTCCAAACAGAGTGTAGACAAACTGTGGCTTTGAAGTCTTCCAAGTCTAAGAGTCCAACAAAGGGAAAGACAACTGCTGCACCAGTGACTTTGAAAACTACTCCTAAACATACAACTGCTGCTAAAAATGTGCCTGTAGTTCACGGAAAAAAGGTTGTATTAAAACCAACATCTGCCAAAGACACCAAGCCTAAACCCGTCAAAGTCATTGTTCACGGAAAGAAGGTTGTATCGAAACGAAAGCAGTCAACATCTAAAGATGGCACACAAATCAAGACAAGAAAATCAAGAAAGAAAAGTGAAATTCATGTCATCAAAATCCAAGCCGACACGTCAGCACTGAATAAAAACAATACTCATGGTTCAAACACATTGACCAATGTTTCATACACAAAAGCGGAAGATAATGCTCCCAAGGACTATACCATTGTGGGAGAGTACAAGATATTTAAATATGAAGATGATCACATTAAGAAGGATGATTGTCCACCTTACTGGCACAAGTATGACGGCAATTGCTATCTTTTCAGCAGAGATCGTCTAAATTGGTATCTTGCATCAGTAAGTAGCAGAGCAATCAATCATTATAACCTTTGCACGAACGGAAACAATAATTCCGGAGTCCATTAGGCCTTTGCATACGCATAGCCGAATTTCTACAAGTTACAAATCATTAGTTTAAGTCGGCTTAAGTATATGTTTTCAAGGCAGTATCTGCGTGGAGTGTCATTTGCAAGACCCATAGACAGATAAATTGTACTCTTTCACTATTTTGTGCTCATAATTGACACCAATTGCGCGATCAAAAAGCGAATGCATGAATTTAATTTGATGTACTGTTAAAAAGCAGGCATGATGTCAATTTTTTTTGAGTTGTTATATCAACCACATTGAATTTCTTCAAAAGCTGAAAGCATGCGTTAACATATCCGTACATTTATAAGAATTAATTGCATTTCGGATGGATACTCTCTGAACATTTTTGTATTTTGATATTACATAAGACTTCCTGTCAATAACTTTTTCAATAACTGTCCCTAATGATATTAAAACCTGCGTTTAAATATTTAATATTATTTTGCATCTTCGCTAGCCAAGGGTTTTTGATCCGCTACTCTTCTCACAAACAGGGTTGTGAGGAGAGTAGCGAATCAGAAACCCTTGGCCAGCGAAGATGATTATTATGCTTCCTGTCAGTTTGTCTGTTTATTATGCTTCCTGTCAGTTTGTCTGTTTATTATGCTTCCTGTCAGTTTGTCTGTTTATTCTGCTTCCTGTCAATTTGTCTGTTTATTATGCTTCCTGTTAGTTTGTCTGTTTATTATGCTTCCTGTTAGTTTGTCTGTTTATTATGCTTCCTGTCAGTTTGTCTATTTATTATGCTTCCTGTCAGTTTGTCTGTTTATTATGCTTCCTGTCAGTTTGTCTGTTTATTATGCTTCCTTTCAGTCTGTTTATTATGCTTCCTGTCAATTTGTCTGTTTATTATGCTTCCTTTCAGTTTGTCTGTTTATTATGCTTCCTGTCAGTTTGTCTGTTTATTATGCTTCCTGTCAGTTTCTCTGTTTATTATGCTTCTTGTCAGTTTGTCTGTTTATTATGCTTCCTGTCAGTTTGTTTATTATGCTTCCTGTCAGTTTGTCTGGTTATTATCCTTCTTGTCAGTTTGTCTGTTTATTATGCTTCCTGTCAGTTTGTCTGTTTATTATGCTTCCTGTCAGTTTGTTTATTATGCTTCCTGTCAGTTTGTTTATTATGCTTCTTGTCAGTTTGTCTGTTTATTATGCTTCCTGTCAGTTTCTCTGTTTATTATGCTTCCTGTCAGTTTGTCTGGTTATTATGCTTCTTGTCAGTTTGTCTGGTTATTATGCCTCTTGTCAGTTTGTCTCTGTATAACCAGTACTCAACTATTTTTGCAAATGGTTCTCAAGTTTTATATGGCGTAAGCATACTATGCCGAGATATTACATGACTGTCTTGTCTAGAGAAAATTTGTTAAGCACCCACGCCGGGGTTCGAACTCGAGGTCTATAAGCTAGGGCGCTACCGAATACGCCACAAACACTGATACCTTATCGAATGTATTTTCAAGCATAAATACGAAGTTTTCATACATTTGACACTAAACAAAAAAAGATGAATATCATTTCCAGAATACTTATATCATTGGCAAGGATCTTGAAGAAAAATTCGCTAACAAATAATTAAGTTCACCAATGACAAAAATTGCAACGCAACAAGAACGGGTACTTCATTAAAACGCTTTTTGATATGATGCTTGATTAAAGAATGTTAAAAAAATTTCATTAAGATTTAATGATTGCAAACAGGTTTGGGGTTGAGGTTTTTATTAAATTGTCGTATACAAACAACATTCAGCATAATAATTATAGTAGTGTTATTATTTGGATGTACTAAGCAAAAATAACAGTCAGGGTTTGACACATAGTGCACTCGCCTCTGGCTTTTGTACCATGTGTCAAACCCTGACTGCTATTTCGGCATAGTACATTCAGATAATTACAATATTATGTAAATATGTACATCCACTGAAAATTCAAAACCTTATTCCTGTAATATAAATAATTAAACAATTGATTTCTAGTTAGATCTAGATATTTACCTCTCTCTCTCTCTCTCTCTCTCTCTCTCTATATATATATATATATAGAGAGAGAGAGAGAGAGAGAATCATTGAACTTTATATTTTAGATGAAATGCTTCAATCTTGGTGGCTTTCTGGCAACGGTGGAAAGTTCTCACGAAAACACCTACATTATAAACCAACTCAAGGCATACAAAAGTACGTATATTTTTCAGTGTGTTGTATACCACTTCAAATTAATGAGTATATAGTTTTCCATGCTTTCCTCTCCTGGAACTTTACATTTGCCTTTTAAAATTGGGTCTGCTGGTATTGTCCTTGCACAATAAATTGACCAGGCTTCGCCAGATGAACTTTTGATCGATAAGTACGGTTCCAAAATTTAAGGGTAGTAGAACGTGTTAGATGAAAGTTTATTTTCTTCATGAGCTTCTGTGTTTAATTCTTAACAAAAAAATCCCTATGTCGAGGCTTTGGTGTTTAGCTATTGATTTTCTGTAACCGGAAGTGAGACGAATAGACTAAATGGTAAATCTAAAGTTACTCCGCTAGATCATCTTATATTATTGTGCGATGGCAATATCGAAATGAATCAAAGGATAAGAATTAGACAGAAATTTAGTTTTATATTGTACAGTTCACAAAAGAATTATGTGTAGATACGCACTTTATCATTTTGTCAAATATTAGGATACCTACCAAAGCTGAGTTAACTCTTTGAGATATAATTTAAATATTTTACATAAGTTGAAGACGGGGTATTATACTCTTGTAGAGACACACTACCAACAGAGCACGTTGTTTGATCTCTATCAACTTTGATTATACGATGTATTACAGTTACACGAGGAGCGTGGATGGGACTAAACACCGTTCTGTACCCACAGAAACATAAATGGTATTGGGGATTTTCTGGAAAACGAAATTTTGGCTTTGATTGGTATGGATTTGAGCCAGTTTACAAGAAGAAAGGCGATTATTTGTGTGCAATCTTTTGGAAAACATATCATTTCCATTGGCACGTTGGTAGCTGTTCTCAAAACAACTATTATGTATGCAAAATTAAACTGGTAAGTTATGGAAAAAAGTTTTAATCATGAAAAAACCTTTCATATTGATATTATTATTTTATAGTTTCAAGAAGGGGAATATTATACAATTAAAGACATTTCATGCTCTGATATTTTACATTGATGGCGAACTAAAAACTAAACTTGATGAAAAACGTGACGTTCTTCAACTTTTCTAACGTCAACTTTCCTAATTTATGTAGGAATGTGCCATTGTCACAAGCATAATAATGACGTTTATTTCTCCCAGATGATTCGATGCGTAAGAGCATGTTTTGTGTATGATCAATTTCTTAACAGGCAACTGACAAATAAGTTGATTTACAGGGGTATCAACAATCTCATTATAAGAGAATATTTCGCAAATTCTATAGCCGATACAATTACCTTGCTTGCAAGTACAGCTGTCATTAGGTCGAATGTTGTCTGACGCGTTGTGATACAAATTGTTAGGCTATTATTTATTATTTCCATACTGAACTGACTACGGATTTTTCCGTTTACCCAGTCAAACCAAACGGCTCACGACGGGTGTATGCGGTTGACAGGGGATGTTTACTCCGCCATAATACCAGATTCCACCTCTGAAGTTTTCAGAGGTCCTTGATGGCTCTGCTCTGAAACTTTATTCCTTGTTTGGATTTTTGAGCATGGTTACTGTTTGATGTCTTCATATTTCATTTGACAAAAATATACTAATTTGTTTGAACAAGATATAAATCTATCAGTTATCTGTTAATTTTTAAAATTTATTACATGCTGAACCCTTCAGCCAATGTAAAATTCCAGAAAAGACAGCTTATTACCGAAGCTTCAGAATTATTCCTGATGTAAGCTAGCTGCATGCAGATTACCGGTACACATATATGTTTTAAAAGAAATAAATCATTTATATTTTGTTATGTACAAAACGAAAAATAAGATGTCAGCAAAATAAAGCCTTTCTAAGAATTTTGAAATTATTTATGAGGATCGTTTTAACAACATTTTGTTTTTCTTTTCAGAAAGAGTCTTGTTCATGCACATTCTGAAAATTGGAGGAAAAAAACTAAAAATATTTCAAACAAATGGGTGTTTTGTTTATTTTTCAATTTAAACATCTGATATTAGATAAGGTGGATCTTTGGTTTGAAAATGAGTTGAACCAGCGCTTGATAAAATTTGTAAGCAAAAATTATATAATTAAGAAAATAGTGCAGTGTTTGAAAATTAATTACTTGATGAATACGCAAATGATTTGTACATGGTTAGTAAGGAGGAATAACATGTCATAATTTTGAGAACCAAGTGTCGCAAATGGTGAGTAGAAAGTTTATTAAATTTAATTCTACCTAACAAATGTAGGTATTTCCCAGCATATGCATGCATGCGACACTACTTTTGGTTGATTTGCATATCATAGCATTTTGTAATGTATTGCTACCATCATACGTTTCGCGTGTGCGCAAGGATTTTATCATTTATAAAATGCAAGTTAACCTTATCTATCATTTGGGAAAAAATGATTCCGTTCATTAGAGTTTTAGGTAAAATATAAATTCGTTTCCAACTTTTCTTTACATTTTAACGACATGCTTCTTTCTTTTAAAGGTTGTGAAAAGGAGGAAAAATAAAAATCTTTGGTATTTACTTACTTTTTCCTGTTCTTTCGCTGTTTCATTCAATCTATGTCGGTATTGTTTCAGTGTTGACTCGCGTTGAACGTAATAAATCATTGATATCTTACATTTTTTTAAGTTTAAGAAGTGGCTGTAAATAATATTATTAATAAAAAATATCACATCATCTTTTCTACCAAATTATATTTTAATCTTTTAAAATCTTTTTTTTTTCAAATTCATATCTTCAAAAGAAATTATAACAATAACATTATATATGTTGCATTGGCATCGGGAAGATAGATTAAATCAAATAATGAAAACTACTGACGTTATCTTTTTTTTTTTTTTTTTTTTTTTTTTTTTTCAAATTCATACCTTCAAAAGAAATTATAACAATAACTTTATATATGTTGCATTGGCGCCGGGAAGATAGATTAAATCAAATAATGAAAACTACTGACTTTATCGTGATTTAAAGATTATTGATTCAGAGAAATTTTGAAACATTCGTAACACGATCTTTGAAATGCATTTTATAGAAACCCATAGAGTGTTATAAATGATACCCAATTGGATAAAATTACAGTTGTACGAGTAAATACAAATTTATAAAATTAATTCAATTGTAAGAAGAGAATAATCCAGATATAATAAGACTTTAACGTTAGTACATGTACAAACAATATCAGGTTTTGAGCATATGTATTGTTGTTTTCTGATAGCTAATTCTTAACTTGTGAGCATTGCTGAAATACACATGCTGCTAATAATTACCTACAACTTTTAGTTGATTTGTTTGATTGCAGTTCGTGCACATCATTGGAACTAGGGTTAAAATTTTGGCAGTAATTTAAATTAATCTTTGCTTCTCTTTGATGTATTAATAGAGAATGATTTTGATTTTGAACATTATTTTATTCTTACCATATTTTTTTTAAAGAATAAAAAACAATTAAATAATTTGAAAGAAGAACTATCTCAGAATTGAATGATCCAATCTCATATTGAATTATAGATATAGTCTGAATAAATGTGACATGAAATGCAAATTTTTATATGTTTTTTTCAAAAGGCGAATTGACAAAAGATAGTCAGTGGTGTACACATTAACCCGTTTATAACTTCCTGTAAAAATGTCATTTTATTTTAAAGAAATCGGGAGAAAATAATTTGGCGACTGCTTTATCATTATTAAACGTACTAAATCATTAAAAAGACATTACGGTTTTTGAGGAAACCCTGTTCTAATGGTAAATGGGGAATACGAAATGCAATACACGGTGAATCTTTATATAGAGACTAAATGGATTTAGAGCCGGTGGCATTTATCTTATCAATATTAAACATATTATTTCATTTGATAAATGATGATGAAATAAATGCATGACAAAACCCTGTGGCTTCACATTACGCAAATGGAAAGTCTTTAAGAAGAAGAAAAAAATGTCTACCATTTATTCAAATGGTGTAATCATTACAAAGAAAAATTAAAATATTGTTGAATTATGTTGAACTATCATTGTATCGCTAATTGTATCCTCAGGGAAAAAGGTTTCTTGCTATGAAACAAAATTAATGGATTCAATAAATTACTTTGAATCTAAATGTTTCGCTGGCAAGTCCAGAATTCATTTTATTTGAAAAATCTGAAGCTTAATGTGACAATAACCTTGGCAACCCCCAAAGTGCATTTCCTACATGAGCAGTAAAGGAAGATATTTTGTATCTTTCAAGGCATGATAACAGAAAGCGTTTTTAGCTCACCTGAGCCGAAGGCTCAAGTGAGCTTTTCTGATAAAAAGTGTGCGGCTGTCCTCTGTAAACTTTTCACATTTTCGACTTCTTCTCTAGAACCACTGGGCCAATTTCAACCAAACTTGCCACAAAGCATCCCTGGGTGAAGGGGATTTAAGTTTCTGCACAGGAGGTGTCATGCCCTCTTTCAAGGGGAGATAGTTAAGAATTCATGAAAATTTGGTGGCATCTTTTAAAAATCTTCTTCTCAAGAACCACGGGCCAAGAAAAGGTGAAACTTATGTGAAAGCTTCATTATATAATCTAGATTCAAAATTGTTCATATCATAACCCCCGGGGATAGGGCGGGGCCACAAGAGGGGTCGAAGTTTTACATAGGAATATAAAGAAAATGCTTTTAAAAATCTTCTTCTCTAGAACAGCAAAGCCATGGTTAGTCATATTATAACAGAAGTATCCTCAGGTAGTGAAGATTCAAGTTTGTTCCAATCATGATCCCCAGGGGTAGGGCAGGGTCACTACTGGGAGTTTACCATAGGAATATATGTTTTTCTAACTTCTATAAAGCTGGAAAAACTGGTATAGACTTACGGAATGTTTAAAATGGCTACAGAAAAATAAAATCCAGAGTATTTCTTTTTAAATGGCCAAAGGATTCGGAGAGATAAAGGATGCACAATTAATGTCAATTTGTAGTCAGGGTGTCAAAAGTCAGTCACGTCGAAAAGTGACGTTGATCATGTGTGTGGTTGAAATTGAAAGCCAACAAACTAAGTATTTTGGCATTATCAAGTGCGAATCTTTCGCTATGTATAGATCCATTTATAATATTATATGCATTGAAATCAGCTGTTCGTGACATTGTAAAGTCATATACTAGTAAAAAAGACGAGCTTAAGTCTTTCCTCAGTTCCAGGTAATCTCATCAAGATAAGAGAGCGGTCATTGAGAAACAATGACGTTGTCGGACGTCACTAAACCGTCGACAGAGCCTGGCGATCATATAATGTCTTTTTTATTTTAGAATAATTTGACAAATTATCAATCTATCAAACTAAAATTTTCAACATTTCTTAAACTTTTGTTGTTGTTTTTATGTTCCTTATAAATTTTGTATGCACAGAATACATAGTATCAATTTTATAGCATCAGTCCATGAACTTTTTAATTTAAAAAATATATAATGAATTTTATACTCCAATTTCTCAGTTAAAACTGAATGCATAAAATAGCTTATTTTTTCCGTAAAAAAAAGAAGAAAAAGCAATTTTATTTCCCTTTAAATCTGAACAGAATGACGTGTAACAAAAGTTTAAGCTTTTTAATTCTCACACTGAGGAGTAAATTGCTTTTAATAAAATTATAACAATGCTCTTTCATTCGTTGAGACAGAGTAAACTACTTCAAAATTGTTACTGAATTCACAGAAGTAATGTTTAAAGGCTTGGGATCAGCTTACAAATTAAATGAATTTAAAAATAAGTATGACTGATTTTGAAGAAAAAGCATTGCTTTCCAATTGAATAACAAGATACTAATTGTCAAAAAAAAAAGAAATTTAAAGTTTATTGAATGTATAAGATATATTAATTTTTAAGAAAGCGCGCTTTTTCCGATATCAAAAAATAAGACTTAAGAAATACTTGAGGCACATCTTATCAATAAGATGTAAAATCATTCTTATTTAGGCATCGACTTTTATTTCATCTTAGTTATTTTAGTTTAGGGTAGTTTCGATGCCATGCAATTTAAGTCTATTGTTTTTTTCTGTTCGTTATGCCTAAAAACTGTAATATACAAAAGTAAAGGACAAACTGAAAGTGAAAATGTGCTTGAATGTTAACCTTTTAGGCCTAGAGTTTACTTAATTTATTTTAACAATATGTCTACTGTCATTTTCCAGTGTTGATGAGTAGATTCTGGGTAACTGAAAAAGAACAGAACTGAAAAACTTCATATTTTCTGATAGAATTAAAAAAAATCCACATGTTTGTAAATTGATAGCATGCATAATTTTCTTTAGTGACATTCAAATATCGTATTTCCTTTTCAAGGCACTTAGATATTTTCTTCTAAGTTTTTTATTGTTTAAAATTAATTTATGTGGCCCAAAAGACAAGGACCTGGGGACACAGACAAAATGATACCATTGTCAACATTGAAAATAGAGCCATTTAAATGATACCATTGTCAACATTGAAAATAGAGCCATTTAAATGATACCATTGTCAACATTGAAAATAGAGCCATTTAAATGATACCATTGTCAACATTGAAAATATTGTCAACATTGAAAATAGAGCCATTTAAATGATTCCATTGTCAACATTGAAAATAGAGCCATTTAAAGTTCAATCAAATTATTGTCTTTGTTTTCAGGAAATAGCAAAAGTTTTATTTTTATAACTTGACCATAGTCAATACTTCTTATAGTACAAAGAGTTACTGGCTGTTCATAGAGCTTTTTTGATATAATAGCAACACATATGTTTTTTGGGAAGGAAGGGTCTGCTTTCAGAAATGTGGTGAATGAACATACTAGTTTGCAATGATTATCACGGTCAAAACGGTGACATTTGATATATATAGGATCTTGCCAAGGCTCTGGAATAAATATGCACAACCCGTTGGATAAAAAAAATCGTATCAAACCACAAACCATAAGAGATTTTTTA